TTTGATAGAACACTCGATCTGCTAGAGTGTATTTGAGGCCACGAGGGTCTCTGCTGTCCGCAGATCGCATCATACTGCTTTCAGTTACCACGATGGGGGAAGGTCAAACAGTGTTTGATCACATTGAAAGATAATGAAAGGCTAAGTTTACATATCCAGCCGCTGTTATGGGCCACACTAAGCCACTTTTAAGGTTTTAAAAACTATTACAAGAAAAAAGAAAAACAACAACCTCTCTAGCCTGGCTTAAATAGATGCAGCAGGATTTATGCACATTCTGCAACCAATCATTAGAGAACAAAAAAAATGTCAAAAGGCAGGGATAACAGGAAAGTTACCAAATTTTTTAATATCCGAATGTAATCTGAATGATGATTGTGGTAATAGTGACACATTCAAGTTTCTACAATAAACTTCAGTCTACCTCAGTTTAAGAAAAAAAAAAATGTGGCAACACATGGTGCATAAAGACTGCTGTGTGTGTGTGCGCGTGCGCGCCTGTATGTGTGTGGTCGACAGAGCCATGCTATTACCTCTGAACCTTTTTTTTGTGATGTTTTTTTGTGCATGAGATGATCAGAATCACCATGCTGCACTGATTTGAGGGGCACAACGAGCAAAAACATTTGTTTCATCATTTTGTTATCTACCTCTTAGGTTCATGTTGAAATAGAGGCATTACTACATAGATTAGATAATTTTCCCAAAGATCATTGTTGTACAGATTAGATAATTTTGAAAATGGTCTGAAGTGTTTTTCCTGCATTTCTTCTATACTAATTGGTTTAAAAAATCACAAACTTATGTTGTAGTTTTAGCAAAGAAAAATGAGTTTCTTTTCCTTTTTTGACAGTGACCTTCATCTAGCCTTTAGGATAATTTTTTTTTCTTACAATGAATTTAAAATTACTGAAGTATGACAAGTCATAGCATTTTAATTTTTTTTTTGAGGCTTAAGTCAGTCTGACGTTCCTTTCTTAACATTTGAGAAGGATTTGGCTTCATTATTTTCCATTAAAATTACTTTACAAGTAGGCGCTGCATTTACATCTGCTCATTTAAATACTGTCATCTCTCTTAAATTTCTAGACTTAGTATGGTAAATCATGTTTTTCTTTTCAATTGAGACTTGGTAATTTGGAGTATTTGGGAATAGCTAGAAAGCAAATACTGTAAATGATTTCAATTTCCACAAAGTATGGATCATTTTTCATCTGTAATGTGCCCCCCAATGCAGCTCCACTTGCCAGATGCCTCTGAATGGAATAAAGAGTTTAACTCCTATCATCAGATAAAGTTGTGTGGTGTTTTTTCAAACTAATGAGGCATAGGGACAGACTGTTCTAAGTATTTACATTGCTTTGGTCAAGTTGGTTTTCTGTCCATAATAGTAACTGGATAAGGATGAACAATCACCCACAGGTATTCCATAGCTGCTAGGGCATCCAGCAGCCAGGTGACAATGTTTGCACTTCCCAATACAAGTAATGACTTTTGTGGCTTGTAATTCCTTTCATATAACAATGCTATACAGTCTGTAGCACAACCTATAGCTCATGGTTTCAGTCTTAAGCAGACCATTTAGGCTGATCTGCTGTGGAAGGGACATGTACTCATCAGTGCTGACCTAGGGAAAACACAAAGGAATCTTTAACAAGTTTGAAGTGAAATCTGAATTGCAGCTAATTTTTTTTCTTTTTTTTTGGCTGTTTTTTATCCAGTCTTTGGTGCTCTCAGTGTGCTGAAGCTGTGTAATGCACATGGCCCTAAAAGCTTGGAAAGGCAGAACCAGTCACACTAGCAAGCCAATATGATGGCAATCTGTATCTCACTCCTACCACCACCACCCAAACACACACCACTTGCCAGTGAGGTGGTATCACCTCTCTATTTAGCTCCTTGTTAATGTTACTTGGAATAGAAATGAGAGTAAATGTTTTAACTGTGAACAGTTTTAGGGTGAGAGGGTAGTGGCTGAGGAATGAAGCAGCATCACGAATAATCCAAGTCTATCTTTTAAAGAGGAGTGGAAAACCAAACTTGTTTTCCAGACTCCTGCACCCTCCCACTTTTTCTTCACAGCTCATTTACTGGGACCAACCAGCAGAAAGAACTGAAGAAATTCTATCTGTAGAAGACACTGCATAGGGTATTGCATTTCACAGGGAACTCTAAACTTTTTCATGCCAGTATTGAGCTGTCTTCTCAGAACTGGCATCCCTACCTTTTGAGCAACATAAGAAGTTAAGCCTTCCTCGGTATCGCTGGTGCATTTGACAGCTAAACCCCTGACTGTTTTAAGCATTTGCTTAATCATGATGCTTTTATTCGCTTCTAACCTTCCAAAGCTTTTATTCCTAAACTGCAACTCCAAAGGCATGCGCTCTTTGTATTAGTTTCTGTTAAATGAAGCACGTACGCTGTGCAGGACAGCATGGTCTCAACGTGGTACTAGGACATAAGGTTTTTAAATGAACATGGAAAATTGTGGAGTAAGCACTCATGCTGGGCTGTAGCAGTGATGTTAGCTCAACTTACGGATGCAGACACTGCTTGATAACGAAGTTACTCAAACGTAGTGCAAGAAACTGGTGAAATTATGACAAAAGCTTCACCTTGATAATTTTCTCCTGTTCATCCCATCATCAAGGGATCCCACACAGAGACAAACCTGCAGATACCTCTGTACAGCATGAAGCTATGGACTCATTGCACAAGCTGTTCAGTATTTTCATTTTACACAGAAATCACTTGATCAGTAGAACTGAAATCATTCCCAAATGTCTTCCTACAAAAGGGGTTTAATGTTGCACAGTACTGATCGTTCAGACTGTCTTCGTTAATTCCTAGGTTCCAGCTTTTAAAAGGGTCAGGCCTAAGGCTCACCAAGTCAGGCAGGTAACCTGGCTGGGGCATCGCAGTAACTCAGCACAGATTATGACTGCTTACGTTAAATGGGGGATGAGGAAGTTATTTTCCTGAGCTCGCAGTTCTGACTATTTAACGGCAACCAGTGGATGTTCCATATAACTCCATGTGCTTTGGCAGTAAATTCGGTTACACTTTTTTGTTTATTTTACTCTGTTTTGCCTCCTCAGTTCATTTGTGGTTTTTTTTTTTTTTTTTCTTTTGGTCTTGTCTTACAGACTATTACCCCTTTCCAACTGTAATAGTCCTAGTCTGTTCACATGGAAGCTGTTCCCCATCTCTTACTGTTCTTTATGTTACTGTGCTCTTTGAGACAGTATACTGTATGTGGTTCTGGTTACTAAATGTGGGTTCATACATTTGCTGAACCTGACTCTATTCATCCAAGTATTACTTATCTGCAGCAGCAGCAGTAAAAGGCAAATGGTTTCAGGGAATGATTATTCAAAGTTTCAGGGAAAGATCACTCCTACGTATCCCTCCTAGAGGAAATGCCTGATGTAGAACCCATTGCTCTGTAGATAGCCAAGGTTAGCTTTCCCCCATTTGGATTTCCTACTGCCAAGTATCATGAAGCATTTTGAAAACCTTTCTTTGCAGTCAGCTTTACCACCGCTACCTTTAATTCACGAGGAAAGATGTTTTATCTGCACAGTTTAACTACATTTAATAAATGTTCCTTGTTTAATTTGTAGAACGATCTGCTGCCTTGTCTCAAAGAGCAGGTGAACTTGGGGACAGTTTTTCCTGAAAGAAGAGAGACTAGACACAGGGAGAAAACATGACCAATCTGAAATGAGGGTGAATGTGGGGTTTGGTTTTGTTTGTAAAAAAACAAACCCACCCACCCCCTTCCTCCTAAATAACACAACCACAGGCACAAAAACCAAGGTCACTTTCTTTGAGCATTACAAACAGCAGCTGCTGCACAGGGAAGAGATGCAGACAGGGCTTGAGGTAGTTTGTGGGGTTATGGAGGAAAAAAGGTGATCTACTGGTTCCTGCTCCCTGATGCATGGCAGAGCAAGCCTCTCCAGATGGAAGAGATCCTAATCTAGTGATGAAAGCCCCATCCTGTAGTGGAGCAAAGCATCTTGTTTTATATAAACAAGTTTTGTTACCATCTTGAAGCTCTTCTAGCTGGTTCTTAGACATGCAACAGTCAGGCTAAGAACACACTGCGCAATGACTTCTGAAAGTGCTGAGCAGTCCACTAGCAACAAGCAATGCTCAGTGACTAAGGGCTTCCTTTAGAACTGCTTTGGCCCCTTTCAAAGTAGCTGAAAGTTTACACTGTCATAGTATGTTGCCTCAGTGTCCTTTCCCAGAAACTAGGTAAGAGGAAAACTAGGAAAGAAGCCAACTGCACACTTCGAAGGAGCTGAATGTTTTAACATGAGGACAAGGAATTGAAGTTCTTCAGTATTTTTTATTATTAAAAACAGATTGGCCTTGGTTGAAAAACTGACTTACTTTTTTGTTAACTCAAGACATTTATTTGTCACTGCTGCTATTGGCTTTTATGTGCTCAGTAACACCAGTCTGTTTTCTCTCCTCCACGTCAGAGCAAGACTTGCTTCCTTGTGACCAGAAGCAAATGGCGTAACACAGGAAGCCTAATCTAAACTGTACTATTTCACGTAGTTTTCCTTTGTAGCACTCAAGTCTGTTTTGCTCTGCCACTACAGGCAGGTCTTTCAAAGATACCAGAAAAACAATTACCGTAGAGGCTGAGCAGCAGTTTCAGGGTAAGCAGCTGAAACAGCTGCCTTTGCCCCACTCTTCTCACTGCAACCTCCATTGAGACAGTGACTCCCCCAGGAAGCTCCATTACGATAGGATTCCTTCCCAACCTTTTACGGTTGAACTCAATCTTAAGGGTCTTTTCCAACCTTAATGATTCCAGGATTCTGATAATTTTTGTAGCTTGTTCAGAACTTTACCTAGGCACATCCAATAAATACACTATTTTGTACTGATCAACTGCAGAGACTGTTAAGTTAGTAATCAAGACGGTACGTCTCTCAGATCTGTGAAGGCACACTCATTTCTCTTTCCACTCAGCAGCTGCATTAAGTTATTGTTTCAAGATGATCTCTGCTGTTAGGAATCAGTCCAAATATAAAGTCTTCTGGCAGCAACTGTGGAGTCATCTGGGCTAACTGGTCATCATAGGAACAGAGAGTCCATAGCTTCTCCAATTCATAAGTTTCTCGTGTCTCTGGCAGCATGAAATGCACCACTATGCTACCTGCACAGAAGAGAAATTCACAATATATTAATGTGAACTGTAAAGTGCTACCACACTTCCACTGCACAAAGAGTTCAAGTCTTCCACCCCATTCTGGCTAGGTATAAGGGGTTTCTTCTTAAGTTGCTGAGTTCTTGAAAAGAGTTAGGGATTGGCCACTGCTTCAAAAGACTCCAAGACTACAGCCAGGAAAATGAGAGGGACAATACTCTGTTCTGAACTGAAACACTATTACAAGACTCGAGACCAAAGAAGTTATGACTTCTAGGGGACAGAAGGAAGTAAGCTGAAGGAAATTTTACTTGAAAGAGTTCCCTCCCTAAGGTTACAGATGGATTTTCAGCTTTCCTATATTACTGACAACATTCATCTATAGCCAAGTAATGTTCCTTAGAAGCTCACGCTTCTTAGGTGGTCCAAATTTTGACATAATAAAGTTTTTCTTACAGGTTTTCATGAATTCTGTGCAAACAATAGTAAAAATGTTAATTCCAGTGTACTTCTAATGCACTTTTTCTAGTTATGTCCTTAAATTTCAATCAGCTTTCAGTTATAACAAACTATCAAACTAACTATCAAAATCATTGACAGTAAAGTAACCAAGGCTTAAAATCACTGGCTGCAGTGCTCCTCACCCACCCATGCTCTCTTTTAAGACAAAACTCAAAGTCTGAGGGTGAGGTTCTAGAGCTAGCAGTGAAGGAGAAATACTTTCTCAATGCAAAGTCTTTTACGTTTGTGTAAGAGTTTCCAACTTGTAGCATAAAGAACTAAATTCAGCTTCTTAGGACTGAGTCTTTACCCTTTGTCATGATATGACCTGGACAGTGGAAAAGTCTGTTTGAAAGTGTACTACTGGGGCAGCATACAAAGAGCTCCCACTCCCCAGACAGAGATTATGAAAACCTGAGAAAATTGTCTGAAGTAGCTTTTATCTTTCCACTAGTGTTATCTTCAATTTATTAAGACCTGTTTTAGCCACTGAAGAGAAGCTACTGCTTTCTTCTTAGTGGCAATGATCCTTAGTAAAAATTTATTTAGTATCTCAATGAGTTCAAGCAACAACAACTGGAGCTCCAAAACAGCAGAGTATTGTGAACTCTCCACAGCAACCAGGGTTCACAGTGAGATGCCTCCTTCAACAAAAGGTTCATGCAGAACTTCATATCTGTCAGATTCACAAATAGTTACCAAAATCAATGCACAGCCAGTCATCTGTCTCTTTGCCTTCAATGTGAGTATGAGGATCACTTTCTTCTTTGTGATGCTTGTACTGAGAGAGAGAAGCAATGGCAGAAAATGAAATACTTTGCATTTATTTAAAAGCACTCAAACCTAACAGACAAGCTGGACTTTGCTGAGTTGTCTAGAGTTGTTTTAAATCTGAAACGAGTTAGATTACTCAGTGTTGCTTCTGAGGTCTGCATGAAAGAATAATAAACACTTGCAGCAATGGAAAATAAGTAGAGATTTCTCAACGGAATTTAGTATCAAATCTGGAATTCTACTGCTCAGAATTTCCATACAGTTGTCCATGAATTTTATAGGTGTCAATTTTTTTTCAAGATGAATATTGAATACAATTGCTTAGCATAAGTCTTTCGGTTATAGGTTCCCTGCAACTACCATTACCACTAAGTTTTTTTTCCTCTCAAGTACCTTTTATTGTTGTTTTACAGTGGCTAGTTAAGTATGTAGAAATGGAGATGCTAAGCTTATCCTCTTCTCAGATGGGGGAGCTGGGAGAAAACAGGTTTCAACCCATGCCATAAGGAAGGCATTCAAACAAGCCTCCTGCCTCTTGAGGGCATGCTCTCAACACTCATTGCAAGATGGGGGGAAAACACAACTGGCACACAGGTTTCCAAGCTACAAAGCACTGTGAGAGAGGGTAGGGGGTAGACCCAAAGACAGACTGCAGAAGCTCAGCTATGGCAAGTTGCAACATGGTAGCTTTCATAGACACCAGCTTGACAGGCCCAGCTCTCCCCACCTGACACAAAGCACCTAAGCACCCATCAGAGCTGAAGAAATATGACAAGTAAAGGCTTAAGTACTCTTTCGGATCTGGCTGTAACCTAGTCATTTCTTCACAAAAAGCAGCAATAGAAGAAAATACAGATGAAGTCATCTGCATCTTCACAGAGCTCCTTTATTCAAATTTCTACCTTGTTTGTAGCTGAAGCAGCCAATCAAAAAAATTGAAACCTTTTTCAATCTGAAATAAAAAAAAACAAACCCAAAAAACATTTCTTTCAGCACAAGGCCACAAGGAAACAGAGTGAAACTGCATGGCTCTAACAAACAGTCATTTCTTCCATGAAAGACAAAATACAAAATATCAGGTTGTAACAGCATGGCTGCCTAGCAAAGGAGCCCTGCTTCACTGGGAAAGCAATTATCCTGGTCATTCCCACACAATGCTAGCTGCTGGACAACAGCACCAGTTTGCAAACCAGAATGGAGAACTTTCAAAATGCAATTCAAAACTCGTTCTACCTTTCTTTATTTAAGATAGATTGTGAGATATCCTCAAAAGCAGGTAATTGTGAAAGACTCTCTGAAAGTATGCTTAAAATACTAAAGAGCCCAGCATACACTGCCATCAGCAATGTAAGGGGTTGGAAAGGCTGATCGCCACTACAAGTTTCCTTCAGCGTTGCCTTTAAAGGCTGTGTAATAGTGAACAGATGACAATAAAGACCAGTGTTAGTTTCTTCCTCTAACATGAAACCTGGTGGGAGGGGGTAAGCAGTAGCTGAGACTGCTGTTTACAAGCTACTTGAAGAAAAGCAAGAAGACCTCATGCTACACGCGAGCACCTCTCCATTTTAGCATGAGGAAATAATACATTACCATAACCTTTTAGATACTGCAATGGCAAAGGTAGCCAGCTGCCCAGTAGCACTCCTGAGCACCTGCCCTGCTTTACATCTTAAGCTTCAGCTTACTTTTTGCCTAGAAAACTTTTGATACCAGGCAAACTCAGCCACTCCTGAGCACTTGGCCAGGCTTCCCAGTTTCTCGGGATGCCCAGGAGGACATCACATCTCCCCAGAGGCTCTGCCCTTGCAAAAGAGCTGCTTTCACAGCCACCAGAGGGAGCAGCCAGTTGCAGCACAGGCATGTTTTTGCAGGGTGGGTGGTATTCACTGATCTCTCCTGCTCTGGAGGAGATGGAGAGCTGTTGATTTAAGACCAGCAAGTTACGCAAGTAACAGAGTACATATTAAGCACTTAGTGTACTGAAATCACACTAATACAACTTCTAGCTTGAAGCAAAATTTTAGTTTGCAAAGACGCATCAGTTCCTGCAGAGAACACAGAAAACTCCCCTCAGTTGCTCAGAAAGACACTGAAAGTCAATACCATCTCCACTTCCCTCCTCTGCCACCTCAAGTCTCACAGCTGAAACCAATGGGACTGGAAGGAAGAAAGTAAAACCAAGAACCAAAGGAAAAAAGCAGTCAGGAAGGGAAATAAAGTACCTGAAGAGAAGGCAAATTACAGGTTAAGAGTACAAACAACTGACCAAGATGGGAGCTTATCATATTCCTCGCACTGTGCTTTGTAACAGTCAGCTGGCTCTTTTCTGGCCATAAAGTTTCTCTCTTCCCGAGTCTGGTTCTTATTCCTAAGCTCTACCTGTATTTTCATTCTAACCTCTATTTTTGTACTGAAAAGCTCACACTCCACCAAAGTGAAACTGCGACAAGATTTCTTTGTAAGGCGGCTGCTGCTGCTTCTTTCCTCCTGTACATGCACTGTATTGTGACTATTAACTAGCAGTTTGCTTTAGTAAGCCCATGAGGGGATCCTGTGCCTCATAACATTCTATCTTTCTTCCACCCTTATGATGATGTACCCGAGAACCTGTAAATTGTAAGGATTAGGGTTCAAGAACAGTCAGATCAAGCTATTTTGAATGAGTGGGAATAGTTATGAAGTTTGTTGGACAGAAGACAAAAGCGGACACAGGTCATCATCACCATTTCAAATCACTCTTGTTCCAGCCACCAAACTGTGCTAATGTTATCACTGTTTTAATACAGAGAGGTCTGTTCTTAAAAGAGATTGCGTAAATTTTGAATAGTACTGCTAAAGGAAAAAAGGTACAGTTAGTTGCTAGATGTATTCAGGACTAAATGATGTAATGATAATGAGTTTCATCTTGCCTGGCACACCCCTATATGTGCAATCCTGGGGAAATTCCTTTCACAACATTTAAAACCATTCCCCAAAACCCAGAGAGTGCAGTGGGAACTGGCTTACCATTTTCAGCATGTAATGTGCCATTGCATGGAGATGTCGTGTTGAAGATCCACTCACAACTATAAAATAATTACAGTATTTTATTTCTGGAGGTAGCTGGATGACACAGATATCTTTAGCATTTTCTTGCCTCAGCAGAGCTACAACAAAGTCAATGTTGAACTTCGGAAGA